AGTGAATGCTGGTGGAATCATGCCTCAGTTTGTGTTTGAAACCTCAGGAGGAGGAGACATTGGTTTACATATCCCCCTAAGGAGGAAGTTTAGCAGCAGAATAACCAGGCTTCTCCTCTTATTCCAGGAGCTGCTGAGATTTCAATTTTGAGAACATAAGGATAACTGCTTGCTACTGCCCTAAATTAATTTCTTTCTCCCTTTTGGGATTTTTTTTTCCTGTTGATTAAGCCGTAAACTAAGCTGGGGCACTGGGCACTGGAAATTACACCTGTTGGCATGAGGTCACAGCAGTGCTCAGAGCAGGTAAAACAGGCATATAAGCTACTGGTGCTTAGGTGTACACCAGCTCATTTTCTTTCTGTCATGTACTACTTCTCTCTGAGATCTTAATGAGAAGAAGTATTTTGGGGGTGATGATGACTTCGGGGGACAATGTAGGATCTTCACAAGGATGTGCCAAGTGGTTAACACTAGAGTTGCACGTAGCAGGCTCTGAGTAACGTGCATGGAGTCTGGGGATTTAGCCTGACAGCCTAGCCTTTGCCCAGATCCCAGAACATCTCACCACGCACCCACTGGAATGCCTTGACATGGGATCTCATCTTCTCTGTCTGCCTGTTAGATATTTGATATGGCCTCAGGGGCTCCTGTATATTCATCCTGACATAACACTGCAGCAGGAGGACGGCAGTGTACGTCAGGGCCCACGGCTAGACGACAAAGCCAAGAGTGGGTTCCACTTGTGTCTCATGTGCCCAGACTTCATTATCTGGCCTGGCCCTCAAACATCACAAGAGACCGTGTGTTGTGTTATTTCACATCACCCTGAACAGAGCATCCTTCTAAGGCAATGCACGAAAACACAGCTGTTAGTGTCCATTGATTCTATAATAAAACATGCCTTGCTTGGCAGTTTCTCTGCCTAAATCTATGCCATGTCCTAGCCCCTTAAAATTAAGTTCCCAGGCCTAAGGGCGGTGAGCCCCTTCTGCTGAACAAATAATGCCTTACAAATAGTATTTAGCATTTAGAACACTAAGATGTGCTTGTGCCTAATTTTGGAAAAAAGGCCAAGAAGTGACTTACTTTCCAGGTAACACAAAGAATCAGCTTGAACAACTGCTTAAAGCTTCTGGAAGGAAGAGTGGACACGATGAAAGTTGCTGTGAGTTGGAGGGCACAGTGGGGCGTTGACAGCCTCAGTCCTGTCTCCATGCCAGGTCCCCTGAGCAGGGATCTTTATGGGAAACTAACAATAGTGGGATTCTTTTTCTCCAGTAAGCTTTAAAAGTGAAACTTTGTTTCCCCACATCTCATACTCACCTCTGTAAGAGCGGAACTAACAATATTTGTGGACTTGGGAGTTAGGAACACCAACTTGAAGCATTTGTCTGACTCACTGGTCTCGTGGAAGAGGCTAATTTGTCCAGGTCTAGGGAAAAGTCCCCATCTTCCACATCCCGCTTTTGCTCTGCTGCCCTGGCCAGGCAAATGCACAAATGTCATAATTCTCTGCCTTCCCTGGCCTCTGGTCGTGCCCAGCCCATTCCTCCCTGAGAAACTTCCATTCCAAGAAAATCTGAAATAAAAAGAGGCCATTGACCTTGCTAGACAATCTGAAAGACTCAAGGGGCGTCTAACGGTTTGAGCTATGTGAAGTGTGCAAGGCTAAAACTGCACGGAAAGCAACAAAGGTCCAGTGCGGACTGACAGGCTTGGGGCATCTGGGCAGCTGCTTGGGCTCATCCACAAGGCTGCCGAGTGGACCCAGGACAGTGGCCTATACCCACCTGTGAGATCTCTGCTCTCAGTCGGAAATACCTGGCAATATCACATGGTTGGATTTGAATAGATAGAAGAAAGCATATTAAATCAGTTTATGCTGCCAATTGTAACATTTCTGCTTAAGCTGATATCCAGTTGGCTACTAATGTGGTACAGAACGGCGAGAGTGGATAGACCAACGGCAGGACCAGTGAATTGGGCTTAGACTCTTTTTTCACTTTTGATATAGGTAAGAACTAAGAAAGCTAGCCATGAGTGCTTGCTTCTCCTTGGGTGGCTTCCATCAGGACTGATTCTTTGACCAGAGCCTCAAGTTTTAAAGGAGATGGGTAAGCACAGGGAAGACCAGTTCTCATCACATAGATTGGTCCATGGCTGGTGATGGACCTCGCTGTTCTTCATGGAAATGGGATCGGGTACCTTCCTCCTCTAGTCCCCTTGTTTTTGAGGGCAGATGACTAGGTTCCAACTGGGGTAGGATGCCTACAGTCATCAAAGATACAGGGGAGCTCTGGGCAGGGCATTTGGGAGTTGAGGAAAGGTGCCATTACATAGCCTGCACCTGGAGACCATGTCTCCTTCTTAAACAGGAGGTTTCTTCACAGTTAGAAGTAGCCATTTTCACCCTGAAGACATACCCAGGATTCCACAACTCTCCTGGCCTCTGGTGATTGGTATGGGTATTTGCACATGCGTAGGGGCTGCTCCCCTCCTCCACATGAAGGAGGCACACCTTTCGGGCCAGGGCTCTGCTCCCAGCTGGCCTGTGAGTCACTACCTGCCTGGTCGCACTAGTCTAGGCACACAAAGGTCGGATCACCTTTTCCCACAACTTAGAGCCTGCTTGGCTTCCAGCCAGCCCACCAGAAGGATGGAGACACTCCGGTCATAGAGAACTCATTTCATTTGTGTGTAAATGGTTACACGCATATTAAACTCACTTAAAGGTATGTCCTCCACATTCATTAAGGCTATTAAAGTGGTGTACTTTAAATGAAATCCTATATAATCAAAATTACCAGATTATTGAGTTAACAGGAAATTTATCTTTGCAAAAAAACTAAGACTTTGATTTTTTTCAAAATAGGATTAAACTGTTCATATGTGTTAACCAAAAATAAAACCTACTGCTTTGCAGTAGAAACCACACAGCCAGCTTCCAAAAACAGAAATGCAGGGGTCTGGCATCAGTGTCTCCCCGCGCAGCAGTTAGCTCGGAACACAGCTGTTCTAGCTTAGCCTTTGTCCCAATTCAGCCACTTGCCCCCATGCTGATTCGAGTGTAGACTCCTCTAATTCCAAGCTGAGGGACATTCTCCAATAACATAGCAATCAATTTAATAAAGGAACTCACCAATGTCAAATTGCAATAAATTTACCAAACATTTTCACTGTTTATGGAGAGCTTTACAGTAAGAAAGTGTCGACAGAAGCAGGCACATCCGGGTACAAAGTGTTGCTGTTGGTTGGTCTTCACTTCTGTTCCTACAGCTCCAACTGCTTTGTACTCTCAGCTGAGGTCCTCCGCACGAAATGCACCTTGGATAAGCGTTCTGTTCTTGCCCATTCGACCCAGGACCTCCCAGCGCAGTCCTGGGGGGTACGGACTTGTCTAAGAGAAGTGTGATTGGCAAGCCCACCCCAAACATTTATTGTAAACTTTAAATGGAGTCCAGATACGAATGACATAGAGGGGAGACACCTCCTCACACAGAAAGGAGAATACCGGAGTGTCCTAGGGTCTCGCAGATCTCACAGGGCCGGACCAGAAAAGTGTCAAACCACGCGCAGGCACGACGCCAAGCAATGCCCGATTGCTGCCCTTTCTGGTGTCCCAGGCCGCTTGGGCCCGGACTCAGCAGGCCCGACTAGGCTCCCAAGGGCGCGCCATCTCACAGGGAGGCCGACAGCAATAGGGGTAGGAGGCGTTGAGATCGGGGTCCGAGGGCGCGTACCCCGGCAGCTCCACCGACGGGTGCCCGCCACAGCACACCTCCACGCCCGCCTCGTCAAAGGCATGGAAGACGCCCACGTTGATGTAGGACACAGCGTGGTGCGCCGCGAAGCTCGCGCAGTCTCCTGGGGTGTTGAAGTCGGACTCCTCCGGGGACAGGATGGAGGCCTCGCTGGGTCGTGGCTGCAGCCGCCGCCCCCTTTTGCCCCGCCGGCCGCGCCGGCTCCGAGAGGCCAGCGACTGAGCGCGGAGCCCGGGTCCGCCCCGCGGCCGTGCCAAAGACCGGCTCGCCCTCCGCCGGCCGCGCCGACCGCGCCGGGCCTGCGAAGACTTGTAGTTCTTGACCAGCAGAAGGCTGAGCAGGCCCAACAGGCACTCGAGCGAGTTGAATACAGTGGAGAGCACCAGGCCGCGCTGGTAGTCCTTCAGCTGACGGCATTTGGCTGATGTGGCGCTGTCCAGGGTGCTGCGGGCGCGCGGCGTGCTGGAGCCCGGGGTTGCAGGGCCAGGGGCCGAGCCGGGGACAGGGGCCGGCGGGCGCGGGGGCAGGCAATAGTGGGAGTACTTGCGTTCCACCAGGGACACTGTGTCGCCGTCGATCACTGCTCCCGCAAAGGCGCTGAGAACCCCGAGCATGAAGACCAGGACGCCTAGGAGCAGCAGGTTCTGGCTGTTCACCCTCCCCGAGGGCCCGGCAGCCGCCCGCGTCTCTCCAGAAGAGGGCTCCGGAGCGCCCGATGGAGATGCGGGGACCCCGAGTCCGGGGCCCGACCCGGCCCCTGACCCGGCGAGGGGCGCCTCCCGGGGCCCGCAGCACAGCAGGGCGGCGCCGAGCAGCGAGAGGCCGGCGGCCAACAGTAGCCCGGAGTAAAAGGCACCGGCAGCCGCCCCTAGCCGGAAAGGCTCCCCGCGCAGCTCAGAGCCCAGAGAGAAGCACTTGAGGCCGACGGCGGCGGCGCTGAGCGCGCAGGCGAGCAGCAGGCTGGAGGAAAGCGCGGCGCAGGCCCCGCGGACGCTCCACTTCATCCTCCGCGCCGGAGCCGGCCCGCACCCGGCGCGCCCGCCGCCGCCCGCCGCCGCCCCCGCCGCCTGCGCCTCCTCCCGGCGCCGCGCGGCCGGACCGCCGGCCTCCTCTTCATCCTCCCGCGTCCTCCCGAGCTCGCGCCGCCGCCACTGGAGCCCGCATCCTCCGCCTCCCGCCGCCGCCGCCGCCGCGACCCCGCACCGGGAATCGAGCCGGCGCGGAAAACCGCAAGGCGCGCGCGCCCCCTCCCCAGACCGCGGCGCCGATCCCCGGACGCGCGGCCCCCCCACCCGCGGCTCCGCGCGCCTCGCCCTGACACCACCCTCCGCGGCCCCCTCCCGACCCTCGGGCCCCTAGGACTCCCCTGAGGTCCTCCCCTTGGGAAGGGCCCCTCGCCAAGTCTCCGCCTTCCTTGTCCTCCCCCTGTCAATGTCACTGTCCAGCTCCCGCCGCCTTAGGAACGCCACTCCACCTGGGCCTTCTTCTCCAGGGACCCCCTGGGCCCCACCCCCAGGACCTCCCACCTCTGGAAGCCCTGCGTTTGCTTTCCCCCATCCTCTGGGCGGCTAGTCTCCACGCCCACCTGACTGGACCCGGAAGCTCTAAGAAGTTAGCAGGGGATTTCAGCAATTAGGGATGGGTATAAGGGAGAGCCTGGGCGAGGAAAAGGGGAAGGAGGAAATGTCCAGAGGGAATAGAGGAGGGTGCGCAGGGTATTCGAGGATGGAGGATGAAGGGAAGTATTGGCATGTAGAGCTTTGTGTTGTGTGTGTGCATGTATGAGGAATATGCATAGGCCTTAGAGTATGGGGTATGGGAGAGTGGTGTGCGCGTATGTGTAGTGTGGTGTGGGGAGCGGTATGTATTCCGAGAGTGCAGTGTAGTGTGTGCGGTGTCCAGACTTGCGATATGGGAAGTGTGGTATGTGTGTTAAGTGGTGTATGTGCAGAAGGTGTGTTACCTTGAGATGCGTGAAGAGTATTGTAGGTGCTTAGGGGTTGTGAGTAGGGTGTGCGGGAGAACTAGCTGGAGATTTCTCTCCGAGGATCCAGCCACGGAGCAAGGCCCGGATGGAGTCTTGGGGGAGAACCTCAGGTGAGTTCAGCTTTGGGTCCAGTCCCGTCTCCAGATCTGGCAGAAAATTTCCTCACACGCAGGTGAACAAATTTGACCTGCGTTCGTGTGCGCTAGGGAGAGTGCTGTGGTCGCTCAAATCCGTACTTAGACCTCTCGAGGCCTCCGGCAGCCCCGCCCTGACCCGCAATCCCCGGTGTGGGTGAGTCAGGCCGCCTGCGCAGCTTCCGAACCGCGGGTTGCAGAGGCTGTGCCTGAGGCTGGGGTGGAGAGAAGCGGGGTCCAGGCGTGGGGACCAGGGTGCGGTGGAGAGAACGCGCCTGCGCGTCGACCTTATGGAAGGTTCTGGTAGGTCAAAGGCCCAGGGGCTTTCCTACTTATTGTTAAAGACCTCCCCCCAAAACCAAGAACTGTATTGCCTGGGGAAGCTGAGCCCCTGCGTCCGAGGCAGCACCGGGGTTCTCGCCCACCCTCCTAGAAGCCACTTGCTGGTGGGTGTATGGAGGCTTTCCAAAGACTCCCGGACGTTTGCGTGGGTTTCAGTTCGGCCCAGAGCTTCAGAAAGAGCGAACAAGCCTCTCTGTATTTTTAGTAGGCGGAGCAGAATTTGAAACAGCATCCTACCGATCCTGCGCCTGGTAAATGATGACTCGCCAGAAAGCAAAGACGCAACCCTGCCTCGGTGAGCTTGGCGCGTGGCCCAGGAGGCTCCGCGAGCCTGCGTGCGTAAGGATCGTGGCGCCCACGCTTGGGAGCAGAGCTCAGTGCAAACTTCCAATGGTTCTTCCAGTTTCCAGGGAAACGAGATTTGGAGCTGCTGCGTGTTGCAGAGCTCCCTCTGCTCCCCATGCGAGAGCCTTGCAAATGGCTGGGCTTGGAGAGGAAAGGATTGAGGACACCTCCTCTATGCAGGGTGAACTCTGACCTTAAGGTGGAAGAATTGAGCGGGGCTATGGGGATTTCTTCTACCATCAGAGGACTCATTGGAAACAGTTCTCTTCTGGGTTGTTCCTCCTCTAGATGGGCGCTGCCACCCCTCTATCAATCTTCACATTTCCCAAACTCACCATAGGGCTCTTGTACACGATGTTCCCACTCCTGGGGCATATTCACATTCTATGACGATCCTCACCTGACACTGCTCCTCATTTCTCAAAATTTATCTTCATATTTCTTAATTGCCTCGGTTTTATCGGAAACCTGTCTGATCCAGTTTTGACCTCTGTTTTCCCCAGACGGGCTTTCCATGAGTGTATCAGTGACTGCTGGGATTGGGACTGAACCCCCCCCCCCCCCCCCCCCCCCCGTCTCTGTGCACAGGCTATCGTTCTCCCGCTGCCTTCCGGACTCCAGCCCCTATAGAGGATCCCATAGCACAGGATTTCCCTGTAGTACAAATATATGTTCCCTATCAGGTGGGACTGGAAACATCAGGGTAAGGGCAGTTCAGTTCCATCTGCTTGGATGTTTGCATGTCTGTGGTGGAGTAAACGTTGATCTGGTTCGGCCGGAAGCTTTAGGTCCAGGAGCTGGAATACAGTTGTCTCTACAGCACTGGGAATAAGGGAAGTCGCTCAGAGAACCTAACTGGGCAGCTGCAGGGAGAGGGGGAACTCCGCTGAGAAGAACAAGCTCAGTCAATTCAACTCTATACTGAGGGCAAGGGCACCACAAGATTGCAGGAGAGCATTCCGGTGTGTATTGAGGAGCTCTGCTGGAATCTGGAAGAACCAGAGGAACTCTCTCCCTACTTCAGCATACTGGTAGGACTACTTACAATCACCCTGCAGTTTCTGCCCAGCATGGAATCAGCAGAGAGTGGGAGGGACAGTCTGCGGTCCCATGACATCTCAACTAAGAGTGACATTGAAACTTACGCGTGTAGGACTTTAGAGCAGACTGAGTTGCTTTATGCCAGGATCCTTTCACCAAGGAAGAGCTCACCATGATCTACTATGAGCCCGCTTCAATGTCCGTTTCCAGAGTCCGCTTAATTTCCTATTTATGAATTATAAGCTCAATGTCCTTTATTTATGGCTAGAAACCAAATATGAGTGAGTACATCCCATGTTCCTCTTTTTGGGTCTGGCTTACCTCACTCAGGATAGTGTTTTCTATTTCCATCCATTTGTATGCAAAATTCAAGAAGTCCTTATTTTTTACTGCTGAGTAATACTCTAATATGTATATATTCCATACTTTCTTCATCCATTCTTCCGTTGAAGGGCATCTAGGTTGTTTCCAGGTTCTGGCTATTACAAACAATGCTGCCATGAACATAGTTGAGCATATACTTTTGTTGTATGATAGGGCCTCTCTTGGGTATATTCCCAAGAGTGGTATTGCTGGATCCAGGGGTAGGTTGATCCCGAATTTCCTGAGAAACCGAAGTGGGCGGTCCTTGGGCTTCCCACAGGTCAGGGAACCCTGATTGCTCTTCGAGCAGATGAGGGAGGGGGACTTGATCGGGGGAGGGGGAGGGAAATGGGAAGTGGTTGCGGGGAGGAGGCAGAAATCCTTAATAAATAAATAAATTCACAAAAAAAATTTCCTATTTATGCCAAGAGAGACCTGGTGGACTCAGGCAGGAAGGAGAGCAACTCCAGAGAGAGAGAGACACACACAGACAGACAGACAGACAGACAGACACCAGACTGGAGAGGAATCATCAGCTACTGACCAAATAAATTCCCAGAGCCTGGGCGGGTCTGGCAGCGTCCTGGGGCAGTTATCACTGTCCCACACTGAAAAGCGCTAATTCTAGGAAAGACACAGCAGAAATACAACAGCAGTTACGTCTTAAGGACTACTTTCCTATCACCTTTGAGACTTATTTTAATATTTACATGTTTAGCCGGGCGGTGGTGGCGCACGCCTTTAATCCCAGCACTCGGGAGGCAGAGGCAGGCGGATCTCTGGGAGTTCGAGGCAAGCCTGGCCTACAAGAGCTAGTTCCGGGACAGGCACCAAAGCTACAGAGAAACCCTGTCTCGAAAAACCAATATATATAATATATATATTATATATAATATATATACATGTTTACTAGCATTTAAAACCACACCTCCTAGAAGATTGATTCAATTATTTGAGCTCTTATTTTTTTCTACTCCACCACTTTTTAAAGTATTTTTGTTCTTTATTTTACAACCTATGTCTTAGGCCACCTTCTTTAACTCTAATGGAATACCATACTGTCTACAAAGAACAAAGATTTATTTAGTTCACAGTTCCAGAGGTGCTTGCAGCTGTGAAGTCCTTGGGCTGTACTGTGGCATGGTGTGGAGCATCTCATGGCAAGACAGAGCAACCAAAGAGTCCCTTCCATGACAAAACCACTCAACTAATTACATCCCAAATGTCCCACCACACCCCATGGACTTTGGGGGTTGTATTTCTAGCTCATGAGTTCTGAGGACAAGCGTTCACACATCCTACTAACCAAATAACTGAAATTTTCATTGTTACCATCACCCCATTTTCCTGGGAATAGCCATGGTTAACCTGTTTTTTCAGATAGACAGTACAGGCATCTCTGTGAAAAACACTCCGTGAGCTTTTCAAAGAACTCAGTGAAACCATGGTCATGAGTTCTCAGAGGTGGATGTAGCCATGTTTATTATTTTAAAAGCTTGTGTTTTACAGAATATAATCACAGAAAATATTAAATAGTCATGTGACATCTTCATGACATTTAAATAAGTGTTTATCCTAGCTTCATCCAAGATACAAGACTGAAGAGCCTGAGGATGCAGCCCAGAGCCTGTTAGCCCACCAGTCCTGTTTTCCTGCATTTGTTTAGATATTTATTAGGAGAGGTGCATTCCTATTCATTGTAGTTGGCTTGGCCTGGTTTTGTTTTTGTTTGTTTATTTAGCTTTGTACAGTGAATCTGTGTCTGGCTTCTTTTGTTCTCTATATGTTTGTCAAGTGTGTTCATAATGTTGTGCTCAGCTATAGCTCACTCATTGCTGGTTACGAAGCCCAGTAGCTTCTCTGTTTCATGGCAATAAGCATCATGTTGCTGCTAGTTTGGAAATATTTGTGTGTTCTGAATCATTGAGACATGCAGTTGAGTAACCTGAGAGTGAAATCGCTGGGTTGTGAGTAATACCATCTTTACTTTTTTCCCCTTTAGGCGCTGAGGTTCAATTATGAACAATAAGAACCACTGATTTTAATTATGCAGTTCCATGAGTTTGAACGATTGCATACATTTATACAAACAACCACTTCATGACTCAGTACTGTTCCAGCTTCAGCAAAAGTTAGCCGTCTCAGCTTCCCCCATTCCAGGTCCATGCATTATAGCTCTATGTTTGTTTGTTTATTTTTAAGACAGGGTTTCTTTGTGAAGCCCTGGCTGTCCTAGAACTTGCTTCATAGACCAGACTGACCTCAAACTCACAAAGATATGCCTGCCTCTGTCTCCCAGTTGCTGGGATTAAAGGTGTGCACCACCACCATTCAGCAGTGCACAATAGTTTTCATTACAGCATTTCGTATGCATGGAATCATGCAGTGGGCAATATTTTCTGGTTTCAGTACCTTCCAGATTTATTCATACCCTTGCATGAACAATGAATTGCTTATTATTTTTTTTAAAAAGATTTATTTATTTATTATGTATACACTGTTCTGTCCATATGCATGTCTGCAGACCAGACCAGAAGAGAGCACCAGATCTTATTACAGATGGTTCTGAGCCACCGTGTGGTTTCTGGGAATTGAACTCAGGACCTCTGGAAGAGCAGCCAGTGCTCTTAACCTCTGAGCCATCTCTCCAGCCCAGATTGTTTGTTCTTATCATTAAATACAATTCTACTAAAAAGTGTTGATCTATTCACAACATGACGGACATTCCAGCTTTTCCTACGGGGTGACTGAGATACTATGCAAAAGTGACATCATGCAGGTTGAAGTCCTTATGAGCCCATTTCCACCTCCTTAGTGTGTAATAGGAGTGGATGGCTGGGCTCCAGCACACATTTATCTTAAAGAAACCAAAAGATTGTTTACCAAAAACTTTTCATTCCCCCATGTCATTCTGCGAATCTGCATTCTTGGCAACCTGGGATGATGTCAGCTTCCCTGGTATTTTGGCCAGTCTGGTATCCATAGATGGAATCTCTCTGTGGCTTTAGTTTGCATTGCCCAGTTATGAATAACACCAACCATTTCACTTCTCTTCTTCAGTAAAGCATTAAAAACAACTTTTGTTAGGCCGGGCATGGTGGTGCACACCTTTAATCCTAGAACTTGGGAGGCAGAAGCAGGTGGATCAATGTGAATTTGAGGCGAGCCTTGTCTACAGAGCGAGTTCCAGGACAGCCAGAGCTGTTACACAGAGAAACCCTGTCTCGAAAACAAAAACAAAAAAGTTTTGTTAACTTTTTAAAATTAAGTAGTCTGTACATATATATTTTGGTCCTTTGGATCCTCCTGTAACAACCCAAGTACATATTATACTTCATTCAGTCCAATCCCTTGAGAGCCCCATCAGTCATCCAACCTGTAAGTTCAGTGAGACAACCGTGATTTTTCCAGTGCAGGTCTGGATTTGTGCCACAGAAGGGCCTTGAGGTCTCATAACATTCATGGCTCCAGAGGAGCTACTCACCCAAACCTACCAGTTCTACCACATGCAGCTGCCCTTCCTTCCTTCCTTCCTTCCTTCCTTCCTTCTTTCCCTCCCTCCCTCCCTCTCTCCCTCTCTTTCTCTCTCTCTCTAAAGTGCATACTGGGAAGTGTGCCTCTCATAAAGGCTTGCATTGTAGTGGGTTGGAACTCACCTTCTTGCTTGCCTGAAACAGGTCGGAAGTCTGAATCAGAAGAGTCACATCAAGAAACATCATTCCGAAGGGATCTTCAGAAATTGAAGTCTTGATGAAGCTGTCCATGCCCAGGTGAAAATAAGTTATAATAAGTTATATAAGCCTACAACTAAATAAATTATATTAAAATATTGGTAACGTATACTTAAAGCAATCACTTTCTATTTTACCACACATTTCCGTTCACTCTTTTTAAAAATCATTTATGTATGTATTTTATGCATGAGTGCTCTATCTGCATGTATGCTTGTAAGCCAAAAGAAAGCATCAGACCCCATTATAGATTGTTGTTAGCTGCCATGTGGTTGCTGGGAATTGAACTCAGGAGTGCCCTAACTGCTGAGCCATCTCTCCAGCTCTTTACCACACTTTTCTATTACCTGTTTTCTGAAATTGCATCTAGCTGAGCAAAAATGTATATTCTGCTCTGTATCTCTCAACCCCTTGCTCAGTAGCTCCAGGTGACAGCTTATAATTTACCTTTCCAGGAGAATTTATATCACAGAAATGAGCAAATGATGCAAATCTGACCGGGGATGCTTATTTTACTTATCTACAAAGAAAAGGGAAATATGAATGATGCAGACTGGACTTAAAATGGATTGTGGCTATAGCCATCATTTTAAGTTCAGAATGCGTTTCTTCCAGTGTTTGGGAGCAATCACCTGTGCAGTAATAGCATGCACATTGTATATCTCTAACGAAAGGCATTCCAACACGATTCCCCCTTGTCCTCCCTGGAATTCATAAGCTTCTGTAGGAACAGCACCCAGCATTCAGATCAGAGCAGCACCCTCTTGTCAGGGATGGGAGCAAGCATTCTGCTGAGTCAGATGCAATCAGGGTTTATTCATGTCCTAATTTTGCAATATTGTTGTCAGTGATAGAGTTACAAAAACAGTGGATTTTGCAAGAAATAGCAAGTCACATTGAAGTCATAAAATAAAAAGCAGATAAACGCTTTCATTTAAAATGTTATTTCCAAACTTATATAAGAAAATGCTTTTTTTAGTTTTTTCAATTTTTTAAATTGCATTTATTTGTTCACTGTGTATGCATATTTGCATGTGGAAATGGGAATGTAGTGGAAACTTGTGGGGGTCAGAGGGCAACTGGCTGCATTTGGTTTTCTTCTTCCTCCTTGTGGGTTCAGGGGACCACACTCAGGTCTACAGGCTTGGTGGCAAGTGTCTTTACCTGCTGAGCCACATCACTGGCCCACGACATTACTAATAGAATTTTTATGTTAGCTCAAGCAGTGGCACAAATTTTAGTAAGGTTATAAAACCGTTTCTCATATTTTGATCCACCAACTGCCAATAAACAGTAAATTCTCACATTCTTTTCCCTGTGAAACAAGCGGAAACAGATACAGGAAGGAATCTTGTGACCTTCAGTCTGGCAGCTGCTAATTTTCTGAAGATTTAGCTGACCACCAAGATGCTCTGAGTGTTCAGGAATAGTCACCAGGAAATGCATGGCTCCTGCTTGAGTCAGCTCTGGGAGAGGAAAAAAACCACCATTCAGATAGCTAAGGAAATGCCTTCCTGTAGGCTAAAGTCCAACACATCAAACATGGGTACATGGGAAGTGGTGTTCCATTAAGCGGGTGGAAGAGATGCCTACAAGGCTCAGCCCTTGACAGTGCCTTCTCCATCACACTCACTGCTGTGGGCTTTACCACCCAGCCTCATAGTTGTAAGAAACACCTATCTACTGAGAACTCCAAACTCATGGTTCAGTTCAAAGTTCCTCCTGGCGCTCCAGGATAGGTTCCGACCTCCTGTCTTCATCTACTCTATTAAGGCCTCATTTTAGCACATGAAACATTGTATCTCATCTTTAAAGACAAACAAGACCCATCCCAGCCCCTGTACTCAGCTGAGAAAAACTCATTCAGAGTGAGCAAAAGCAATTCTGTGTTTGCACCTTTATCTCCCTTACTCTCTGACTCGCTCTACCCAGTACCTATGTTCAGGGTGCCTGCAGGAAAGCAGTCCTCATTCAGACTGCCCTAAGCTCCCTGGCTTTTCTCAGATCTGTCTTCTCATTGAAAAATGAGACAAGTTCTCTTAATGGCCTGGAATTCACCAAGTAGACTTGGTTATTTGACCACTGAGTCCAGGAATCTGAAAACAGGGACCGGTTTTTTTCACTTATTGTTCTCAGTGTCAATAATAGCATCTAGCATATAGTACCTGGTCTGTGAATATTTGTGTAGCTAATTTTAAAATTTTACACAATTAAAATTTGAAGAATGTAAATCATGGATTGCTAGCCATAGTGGTCTACAGCCTTGCTTTTCAATCCGTGGGTTACAACCCCTTTGGGGGTCGCATATCAAATATTCTGCATATCTGATATCTATATTACAACTCATAACATTAGCAAAATTGCAGTTATGAAGTAGCAATAAGAATAATGTTATGGTTGGGAGTCATCACAACATGAGGAATTGTGTTAAAGCGTTTCAGTACTAGGAAGGTTGAGAACCACTGGTCTGTAGCTTGGAATGCTCTCAGGAGACTTTCTATACTTGAGTCTGGGCATACTGTACTAGACTTCATTCTCAAAGTGTGAGAGAACATTTGGATAAACTCCACCAGGAAATTATGTGACCAGATGTGTCACCTTTGAAATCTTCTGGTCATAAAGTCTGGCATGAAAAGCTACTCAGGCTCTGGTTCCAAGGTTTCCAGGAGTTGCCACCACAAAAACTCCCTCATGACCTGTTTTAATTACTGTTCTATGGCTTCGAAGAGACACAATGACACAGAAACTCTTATAAAGGAGAGCATTTGAGTGGGGGCTTAGAATTTCAGAGGATGGTTCATTATTATCATGGCTGGGAGCAGGGTGCCGTGCAGGTAGACGTAGCACTGGAGTAGTAGCTGAGAGTTCTGCACGGAGAGGGAGAGAGGGAGCCATTGAGCACACGAGCTCATCCTAGCACTGACTCCAAAGCCACAGTCAAATTCTATATATGAGTGCAACCAGGATAATAACCTTAGGGGGGGGAGTCACTGCTTTACCAGATACAGGTGGAATTTGGGAAACAAAATAATATTGCCAGTCCAGGGCCAGTGCTATTGCCAGTCCAGGGCCATGGAGGGCTGGATGCTCTCCTAGGCCCCAGACCCAGCAACAAATCACTAAAATGAGGCACACGCTTATGAGCCAACATGGAAGGGCAGATTGTCCTGAGAAACATGAGCATGAGGTCTTGGGTGGACCTCAAAGACAGTCACTGTTCGCGTGTCTGCCATGGTCTCCTTTGGAGTCTAGCTGAAGCACTTGATTGGAATCCCTCTATGTCTCCTCTGACTTCTGTTTATGATAGCACGGAGCCCAGGTGAGCCATGGGGGGACAGTGCTGCCAGCTGTCTGTGTTTTAGCAGTGGGATCCAAAATCGATGGGGCCCATCTCTCAAGAGAGAGTTGCCGCTCTTCATCTCCACCATGAAGACACAGCAGGATCGCCTCGGCAGGAGCCTACACTGATGCTGTTCTGTGAAGAACAGAGACCCTTCTCTGCTTTGGTTTCCTTTAGAAATGGACCTGGCTCTGTCTCCCACATATCCCAGCCTTCCACCACTCCAATTCCTTGCTTCTACCTGTGGAACTAAAGCAGGGTTCTTGTGTTTCCTGTGTTCATTTCCTCATTTGTAATCATGATTCTGTGACTAACTGCCACACTGTCTCCTCATATTCCTGGACTACCAAAGCCAGGGCTGAACAGTCCTGGTGGAGCCTTTCTTCCTTAGCACACGTAAGTAGACACAACCATCCTACAGACAAAACTTTCATGTAGGGCAAACAAAAGCCCAGTGGCTGGACAAGTACCCCCAGATTTCCAAGTAAACCCTCGCAGAGATGCTCAGGGATGCTCCCTCTGGTGCAGTGAAAATAAGGACTCCTGCCAAAACAATAAGAACAAAGGTATCAGGGTCTCCTTCCCCTTGAAATAACTCAAATGCTGCACAGAAGGCAGCAGGCATGGTTTTCAAATGCTAAGCATTAAACAATGTAGGACAGTAACTGAGTATCAAGTAAGTCCTCCAATACATCGTGTAATAGCTTAAGAGCTGCCAGAAATGATGCCAGCTGAGGAGTCCAGGCAGAGTCGAAAGACCTTCCTGGGTTTATGAGACAGGGTTGAGCTCAGGAGATCAAGCTAAATGTGTGATAGTTTGATTTTTGTCAATTATACTTTAATACAACTGTAAAAACGGTGTTAAAAGCACATTGTGAAATGTTAAATATCAGAAGTGACAAATATCTGATAATATCTAATAAATATCTCTAAGAGGATAAAGAAGCAATATGCCTTAATCACATATATAGGTGCTTAACCATACATAAATGAATTGATTAGATAGATTGATGGAGGAGTGGCTAGATGAATAGATAGATAGATAGATAGATAGATAGATAGATAGATAGATAGATGGATGGATGCCGCGCACCGCGGCCCCCGTCTGCTCTCTATGCACTAGAACCCAGTTCGTGAGCTTCGGGCAAGGGGCTGGAGGTTGAGAATACACATGCAGAGACAGACCGACACACAGACCTTCAAACACTGGTACCAAAAAGCCCCTCTTTAATAGACCATGGAGGCTTAAATACACTACAGTCAATGGCCAACAGGTGAAAATCCCATCCTCTGATCCTCTGCGCTTTTAGTAACTTCTATTAGAAGGCTGTAGACAGGGAAGAGCAGCTGAAGGCCAGGACTCGATTAGTCTCAACAGATAGATAGATAGATAGATAGATAGATAGATAGATAGATAGATACAAAATCAGATGTGAAAGGGACCCAAGAACAAAGACAATATTATCACAAGAACTAGAGTAGAGATTGGAAGCTAACACTGGAGTTATTAGTTTACCCTGTGCAAAGGTTTAACCTCAGGTGAGTTTGGTTTATAACAACCTTGATTCTGTCTCCCTTTGGTTTTTCTCTACATTTTGTAGTCAGAGGATGGTTGCGATAAATCTTTTTCATTCTGAAACCATGGCTGTGGAAAGAGTTCTTTTGTAGATGTGATTTCTGTGTGAACAAGGAAGGAGGA